TTTTCTTTCTCTCATGGCTTATAGGAGATGAAACGTGCGGGATGGGATGATGATTATCATAATAATAATAATAATAATAGTTAGTGTTATTATTATTATTATTATTTCTAATTCACAGTTTCAATTCTTCGTACGTAATCGTGGCTCCAACCGTTCGGTCGAATCTTAATCGAACCCTAAACCAAAAATGGGGTGTTACACTTTCATCATCTATCCCTGAGCAGTAGACCGTCTTTACCATAACCCGCCATGAATGGAATGATTAACAAAATTATGAATCATTAGTCGGTAGGATATATTGACAACAAGGTCTTTGATAGTTTAGATTAATAGTATATAATTTACAAATTTTATTATAGTAGAAAAATAATGTGAGTCATCACAAAAATCAATAGTTTCTCATATAAAAATCAATAGTTTCAATTCTCCTTACATAAAATCCTCGCTACGCCACTGTGTATGAGAGTCATAGAATTAAGACATAGAGTTTAATCTGTAAGGGTTACGGTATAGTATCATAACCCAAACTCCGGTCAATTCAAGGTTTAGATAACATTTTCATACTCAGTGTACATCACATCTTTGATTTTACTAAAGGTACAATAAAACCATTCATGTGTGTAACTGTGTATACATATATGAATGCCTAGCGTATGTCTATCATAGGGAGCATCGTTATACCATAATCTTATCCATCATGGTAAGACTTCATACTACCATCTTCATCACTAACATATTACTAGCTTTTTACCCGGCTCGTTGGCCGGAGAATTTCATTTTATCGTTGACATTAATTCAATTTATCTATATGTTGAAACTATTTTAGACCTTCTAAATTTATTATATTTTGTATTGATAAGTGAGTACGTATGTGGTGTGTCTATATATTGAAAATTCTCAATACTTAGCACATTCACTTATACTGTTTGAATTCTCTAATCATAAACCATGTCACAAAGGTATACCATGTCCATCTACAATTTTTTCTATCTTATATGAATCCATGTTGTTCAGATGAGGACATCTTTCAGAGAGTTTCTTTGTATATATACTTCATTATTGGATAAATTTCTCCATCCCAATTTAAAGTTGACACTTTGAATGTTCATGAAGTTTACTGTAAGATCTTATTTGTATTTAGTCTCTTATACAATATGTATCAATTGCTAATTTCTGAAATTTAATTTGGACTAACTGAGACTCATTGTCGTTGTTTATATATTGTTTTAGAATCTCAATCCAAGATACCCACATATGGATTTTGATCTTAATATGGTGCGTTAGTGTATAATTTTACAACTTGTAGAACCTTCGTTTTCTAAAATTTATTTATGTTTGGTATTTGTTTAGAAATAAAAATTTCATTACTATACTAATATATGCATTTTTTGTATTGCCACATTTATGGTCAATATATAAGCATATATGTTAAAAAGAGTTTAATTATTTTTAAGTGTAATTAATGCTAGTTTTTTATCGGGATTTATAAATTGTTAAGAAAATAAGAGAAATATGAACAATTGTAAAAGAGAATAAGGGATGGAAGGACATATTATAAGTGAGAGAAAAGTTATTCTTACTTATCATCTTCATTTATCCAATAATGTGATCTATTCTTGCTCCATTGAATTTCTATCGAATTATTTTATTTCATAAATATATAATTATCTATGCATGTGTTTTATTGCAACAAAAAAAATGCATGTGTTTGCTAAGAAAGATCATACCTCTTACGATGATTAACTTCTCTAATCTTGCTTCATAGGTCAGTGGTTGATGAACACATGATGTTTAACATAGAGTTTAGCAAAGATTCATCTATCTTTCACATGTGCAATAAAATTTTTTATTTATAATCCTTGAAAATTTATTACTCCACGTCTGAAAATTAAATTTCTTAACATATGACGTAAAACTTCAGTAGAGTTTGCTAAATTAACACGATCTAGAGCAAAAATGCAAAATATTAGTAATTTGAACTTAGGATACACTGTAAATTATTGCACCTATGATTCATATTTTTTCACTTAATTAGAACGAATAAGGTTTTTGTTTAAGAAATAGATTTTATTGCTTGGTCAAGTTTCTATTCAAACGTTTCTTGTTTTCTCTCTTTAATTTTCATCATTATTTGTCGCGATAAAATGTTATTATGTATGTGTGTTTGTATAAATTGTTCATCAAAATGTAACATATTTGTAAATTATTGTAAAAATGAGTTAAAAATTTACTTAGTGAGCTTTAATAAGATATTTTTTTGGTTGAGAAAAAAGTTATATGTGTGACTCAAAGACATTAGTCTATTGTTGTGTACATCTATACAATGCAAAAGTAAAAACAAAAACATAAAAGAAGTATTGGAAAAGAAAAATAAATATTAAAAAAGTTAGAGATAACAAATGTAATATATGTCACTTTTCATACATTATTTATTATTGTGTACATTGATATAATACGAAAAAAGGATAAAAGAGCAATGAAATATTAAATGAAGAGAGAGATAACTGCATAAATAAATCAATAACTATTTTTCTTTTTGTAAAAATAATGTCCACCTTGGCAATTTGTGAGCTCTCCAAGTGCTTAGGTGGCAAACAATTACTTTTGAATTGCATTAATATTATGTATAGATAAATACAGTTTAGCAAAGATTCATCTAACTTTCACATGTATCATTTTTTAATGTATCTCGTGTCTCATCTTAAGATATGAAGTCAAGTTCATCAACAATCATATCGAAGTCATTTTGAAATTTTTTATTTATAATCCTTGAAAATTTATTACTCCAAGTCTGAAAATTAACTTTCTTAACATATGACGTAAAACTTCAGTAGAGTTTGCTAAATTAACACGATCAAGAGCAAAAATGAAAAATATTAGTAATTTGAACTTAGGATACATTGTAAATTATTTCACCTATGATTCATATTTTTTCACTTAATTAGAATGAATAAGGTTTTTGTTTAAGAAATAGATTTTATTGCTTGGTCAAGTTTCTATTCAAACGTTTCTTGTTTTCTCTCTTTAATTTCCATCGTTATTTTGTCGCGATAAAATGTTATTATGTATGTGTGTTTGTATAAATTGTTCATCAAAATGTAACATATTTGTAAATTATTGTAAAAATGAGTTAAAAAAAAATTTGGTTGAGAAAAAAAGTTATATGTGTGACTCAAAGACATTAGTCTATATTTGCGTACATCTATACAATGCAAAAGTAAAAACAAAAATATAAAAGAAGTATTGGAAAAGAAAAATAAATATTAAATAAATTAGAGATAACAAATGTAATATATGTCACTTTTCATACATTATTTATTATTGTGTACATTGATATAATACATAAAAAGGATAAAAGGGAAATGAAATATTAAATGAAGAGAGAGATAGCTCCATAAACATATCAATAACTATTATTCTTTTTGTAAAAATATTATCCACCTTGGCAATTTGTGAGCTCTCCAAGTGCTTATGTGGCAAACAATTACTTTTGAATTGCCATAATATTATGTATAGATAGATAGATAGATAGATAGATAGATGAGTTAAAAAAAAAATTTGGTTGAGAAAAAAAAGTTATATGTGTGACTCAAAGACATTAGTCTATTGTTGCGTACATCTATACAATGCAAAAGTAAAAACAAAAACATAAAAGAAGTATTGGAAAAGAAAAATAAATATTAAATAAATTAGAGATAACAAATGTAATATATGTCACTTTTCATACATTATTTATTATTGTGTACATTGATATAATACATAAAAAGGATAAAAGGGAAATGAAATATTAAATGAAGAGAGAGATAGCTCCATAAATATATCAATAACTATTATTCTTTTTGTAAAAATATTATCCACCTTGGCAATTTGTAAGCTCTCCAAGTGCTTAGGTGGCAAACAATTACTTTTGAATTGCCATAATATTATGTATAGATAGATAGATGATCTTACAACTGTCACGCGTCTGACTATCGACTTAGGGACTCATCCAAATAATAAAACTCGATAGATATATTAGGATAAAATTAGCTAATGGTATATCCGTAGATCCCTTGGAGAAGTAAACACTTGGAGTTTAATATTTTTCTTACTTTGATGTTGGGAAGCGCATGGAACGTACTGTGAAGAGGATATATCTTTGAATGAGTTCACTATTGTTGGGTTTCTTGTACGGCTCGATTTCTCGACATCGATATTCATGAGAATTAAGAGTTAAAATTAGTAATCGAATTAAAGGATGGCCATAAGATATATTATAGTTTTTTTCTTGCAGGAGTCCTTGTACTTGGGGGCATTTCATACATTATAGCTTCCCAAAGTAGTATCTGAAAAGAGAAGAGAAAAAAAGCAATCAATGGAAATTATTAAGGCTATATTTTCTCTCCTCTTGGTTCTTGTTTGTGCATTTGCCTCACTCAATCCTCTGGATGCAATTTTGCACGACGACAACAATCGACAGATGATCACCACTGCCACGGTCAGAAAGTTGCTGCCTTATTCTAGAGGCAAGTTTCCTTCAAGAACCCTCTCATCCTCTCTGTTATTATATTTGAGTTTCGGGGTGAAATAGATCTTAATGAGATTGTTGATCATTATCAAAATCTTGAATGCTCTTGATTTTGGAATCAATCATATAAGTAAGTGGTTGAAATTCAAACATGGAATTCTCCTAATAACTCGAGTTATTGGGACTATGATAGAAATTCGATTTTCATATTTATCATTATTAATAATTATTAGGATATTATTAGATATGACTAGTAGTCTTTGAGTCATATTAAGATAGTCTATTAGGCTTTTTCAGTCTTTAGCTATAAATATGTATTTTGGGTATTTTATTCAATTAAGCAGAAATCAGTAAATGAATTATCTTCCCAAACCCTAAGTTCTCCCTATCTCCTAATTTCTCTTTCTCCCTAGTCCAAGACTTTAGCCGATTCTTTATTTTGTTCTTCCTCTCCTAATTCCAATCTCAATCCCTAATCTTGTTCGTACAAACCCTAATCATCCAATATCAAACCCGATAGAACCTTGTTTCTATCATTTTGTATCAGAGCCAACATGAGCTCATCAATGCTCTTTGATCTGGAGTGGACCGGTGTGAAGCAACAACTCGACGCCATCTGCACCGAACAAGCCAGGGGCGGCGCGCGAACGCGGCGGGGTAGTGAAAGAGGAGCGTGGCGTGGCACGGCGGACCGAGACGTCTGTCCGTCGGACACGGCAGGGGCACGGCGGCGCAAGGCGCCGTTGACTTTGGCGGAAGATGGCGGGTCGCCAAGGCCGACGCTGGAGAAGGAGGAGCCGCGGACCACGCGGCGAGGCAATGGACCGGCGCTGGCCAAGCCGGGCGGTGCTGCAGCTCTTGATGAGGTCGAAACCGAGAGGAAGGCAGTCGAAGAGGTTGTGGGGATTGATAATGGGGAAGTAAAAGGATGAGATCTTGTGACTCCTACGGCTGCCATCCCACACTGCATCACTAGTGTACTCATCCCAGGTTCTCTCCAAGATGGAGAATCAGAGGCTGAGCTCAAAGACCAGCCGTTGTCGGGATTGACCATGGCACTCGACCACCGCACTTCAACACCTTCATCGCCAACCACGACATCTAATTCAAAGTCAACCACAGAACTTGTCATGGCAGTTATCTCCACCGCGATGCGAGAGTTGAAGCCAATCACCACCACCACATTTGGACCAATTGGTACATCGGTCCCAGGCATGGCAGCGAAGGCCGAGGAGAAGAGGCTGTTGAGGAGGATATTAATTACTTAGTCAAAATGTAATTAATTCCTTGTCCTCCAAGTCCCTTGTTTCCCTGTCCTTGTCAAAGAAGGAAACCTGGTTGTCATTAGGGTTTTAACCCTAAGTCTCTCTATATAAGCTTAGCTACGAGATTGTCGTAAGCAAGTCGTCACAATGTAGTCCTATAATAAAATCGTCAGTCGTGAGCTCTTCCGAGCTCACCGTGGATTAGTCTCGATCAATCAATCGATCGAGGATATCACGTAAAATCTTGTGTTCCGTGTTATTTCGTATTTCCGCATCATCAAATTCTTCATGGTATCAGAGCTGTAGATTCAGCTAGTCTTCCGCGCACCAGCGATGTTCATCCCGCTGGCTTGTTTTGTTCATCAGCGATGTTATTCCGCTGAGCATAGTCGACCTAGGCGAAGTCCATCCTGCCATGGTTCGCCGATCGTCAATTGTTGGGGTTATTTGTCGTTGATCTCCCAGATCCGTCCAAAAGATCCCCGTTATTGATTCAGATGAGCAGTCCCGCTCTCCACACGTCCGGTTGACTGAGGCGAAGTCCATTCCGCCTTGGATCTACTTGAAGTCCGTTCGCCGGCTCAATCATCCCGGCGTCGCTACCCTCATTCACGGCTGCAATCGTCAGGAGGGCCGATGTTCATTCTGGCTTCCCACTCCGTCTTCGCAGCCGTCGGTGCCATCAGCGACTGCAGCCTCCTCACAGCCGCCGCTCATGTCAGCGACCGCGGCGTCTTTTGTCGTTGCAAGCCAAAACATGTCACTATTGCAACTTCATCGTAAGCCCCATCATCGCCGGTCACCAGCTCCTGTTCCATCAAGTCAGCGGAATAATATGGCCATGGTAATTTCATGCTTTGTGTTCTTAGCGGCGATTGAACAAGGGTTTTCATCTGGTATCATCTAAAGTTCGCATCAAGGAGTTTCCTCATTTGTCAAGGCTCATGTCGTGGCCGTTCAGCTCATCGTCAACAGGTCAAAGTGTGTGTTTGAGACTGGAGACCATGCTTTAGTCCAAAGATCAAGTTATTATTTTTTGGGGGTTTTGTTGCTTAATTGCACTGCCAAAAAGGTCAAGGTCTTCATTACGAGTTTGGTTTTGTCCAAAGTCAATGTGTCCCTTCCTTTACATGCCGTGAAGATACACTTTCATGCATCGGAGGAAGATTATTATGGGATGACAAGACCGTTTGGTGGGAGTACGTTGGGTCGACAGAATCATATAGTCATCATGTTTTCCGGCCTTGTGTTCGTGGTGGAGTTGGAAACTAAATGGGTTGTCAGTTGGCATCAGCTAAGTTCATCAGTTGCTTCAGCTTTTGCTCGACCATAGTTTCTCGTCATCTCATCTTAATTTTTTTTACAGCCGGGTCGTCAAAAAGGCTTGTCCATTGGGGTTGTGGTCTTCATCAAGGTCACGTGGAATTCAAGAGTTGCATAGGAAGTGGAATTCTATCAATGGTTTCTTTGCAGATCTTGGGAATCCAAAGTTAAGTCGAAGGCAGCCACTATCATTGTGAAGTTTTGTCATGGTTGTTGTCAGGTCGTCATCAAGATCATGGAGGTCATGTCACTGGCTACATTGTTGCGAGTCATGCAGGGATGCTTTCGGGTATGCAATTTCATTGTTGTAGTTGCATTCGTCTCATTTGTTGAACAATGTTTGTCAAGCAAGTCTTCACCAACATCACAGTCATGGCGTTGAAGACAATCACGACGTCTTCTTGTCGTCCCTTCAATAGCTAGTGTTGGGGAGATAGTACAGCTTATGTCAACAAAGTTTGTCAAGTCTTGGAGTGAGGGAAGTCACGATCAAGAAGCGATCGTCCCCTTCGCGTTCAGAATCAATCATTTTTCAGTCTTCACCATTCTAACTTTCAAGCTGGGCATTCACGTCGTTCATGCTCCAGCTTGAGGGGGAGAATAGGGAATCATCACATGTAGGTCGACTAGTTAAGTCATCAAGTCGACCGCGTCTATCTATCAGTCAGGTTGCTCGGAGAAGCATAGTCAGCAGTGCAGTTAGAAGTCTCCAAAGTAAGCAACACAGTCATCCGTCTCCAGTCTCATCCAAGACGTCAAGGTAATTCCGCCATGTGGAGTTCGCTATTGTTGAACTAGGTCAAGCATGGAGTGGTTTCATCATTTGTCTACCTCTTCCGCAAAAGCTGGGTTGGAGTCGACGACGTTGGGTCCCTGGGAGGACTCGCCGGCGCCGCCAATAGCGCAGGAGGCGCGAAGATTAATGGCGATGTCGGGGGATGCGTCAACTGACAAGGAGGTGATTCCAGTAGCAAGCAGTACGTCTTGTCCGAGGAATTACTCGCCGCCGTGGAAATCGAAGAAGAAAAAGAAGAAGGGCGCAGGTGGCGGTGAGCCTCGTGCGTCGCCGAAGATGGAGGCGTTACGGGAGGAGGAAGCAAGGAGGGTCGAGGCGATGGGCTATCGAGTTGCATCGCCAAAGAAGAGGATAAGCGCGGCGGCGTTGGGATCGCCACCCATTTGCTTGGCGGGTCAGCCGTGGAAATTGAAGATGGGTGCAAGGAGGAAGAGGAATGTCTGCGGATTCTTTTCCTCACAACCCTTGAGCTGCAACTTCCCTTGGGCCGCTCGGCAACATGGGCCGCACATCTGGATGGGTTAGCGGGAATGACCAGGAGGAGGAAATGGGCTGGGCTCGTTTTGGGAAGGCGACGACTGATAATTGGGCCGCAAGGAGGAGAGGAGCGGGCCGAATCAGAGTTGGGTTATGGGCTTGATGTATTATTGGGCTGAGAGAGGGGCTCAACGGACTGCGCCACCCAATTAAGCCTGATTTTGTGGGGACAAATTGGGCTCCTATTGGGCTTTATCTCAAAAAGGGTTGTTGGGCTCATCTCTGGCCAAACAGATAAGCTGATCAGACCTCAGTTGGGTTGGTTGGGTGGGTTAACTTTGTATAAGTTGGGCTCAATAGTTTGGGGAAATATGGGGCACGATTGGAATAAAAGAAATCACAGGGAGCGAAGCAGTCAAAGTGTGAATTGCGTGATCACGACTGTAGAAGAGGTCAAATCGGTGAACCTTGAGGGCAAGAAATCATTAAAGAATTATCTTTCCAAGCCATAAGTTCTCTGTATCTCCTAATTTCTCTTTCTCTCTAGTCCAATGCTTCGGCCGATTCTTTATTCTGTTCTTCCTCTTATCATTCCAATCTCAATCCCTAATCATGTTCGTACAAACCCTAATCCCCAAATATCAAACTAGTTGGTTTATGGCATGGTAGTAGAACTGGTTTGTATTTGAAGTCACGTGTTCAATTCCTTACGACCCCCGATATTAGTCGTTGTGTTAAAGCAAATGGTATGACTGTCGTATGCAAACTTCAAACCCATAAGTTGGCTTGCGTTTGAGACAGAGTGTAATTAAGGAAGTGGTTAATATTGATAGCTGGACACCAATACTAAAAGTTGATTTAGAGAAAGAAAAAACACGAATATCTTGTACAACTTGAAACTCAATGGCTGGTCTTGATCATTTAGGCGGGACGCAAGTCAAGGGAATAGGGATGGTAAACCAATTCATTTTTGTACTTCTCACTTCAATTTAAATTATAATAATGACTGATGTAAATTTAGGACCAATTGATTTTTGTCCACTTATAGCATATGTACCATAGTAATTTAGAAATAATTCATTATGTTTAATTACAGTTTTCAACAAGAAGAATCAACTGATGGTCACTACCTTCACTACCAGAAAATTGCTGGCTCAATGGGGCAAGTTTCCCTTCATTAAGTCTCTCCGCATCATTAGTTTATGATGATGAATAAAATTTTCAATCTCTCTCTTACATTTCGAGTCAATTTCTTTTACTAAACTTCATCTGGAATACAAATGTGACTAACAGGGAAGAAGTGCGGGAAAAATAATTGTTGCCGTACTACTTCTTTTCCCTTGTACAAATGTATCGACTGTTGTTGCGACGAGAATGGTTGTTATTATTCTAGCAGTGATCGCTTGTCAGCGATTAATGGAACCAGCAGCAAGTCACTGCGTGGTCAGTATATATACAATACAAGTGTTTTCCTCCTTTTATGGGTTATTTAGTTTGCTATGCTTGTTTTCTATTATATAATGAATTTGTTACGTTTGTGCTACAGCAAAGGAATCAAATACGCAAAAGAAGTCTACATCCGTTGAGGGGAAAAAAGAGTAGATCAAGTAAAAAAGGTAAAATACTATGCATGGCGACTTGAATATTGAGGATCAAACCCCTGGCATTATTAATACTTAAACGTTGGATCATCCTTTAGCGTCATGTTTTGTACCAAAGATAACATCGAGAATCATGTTCTAGAGTTAGCGTCTTTTGAATTTGTAATTTGGGTTCTTGGAGTTTTGGGTTTGGTATTGTGTAATTCTCTTGGGGGCAATTTCTCTCTGCACAGTAAATACTATAGTCTATATATAAAGATGGGTTTGAACTTAGGTAACCAATTCATGAAGCAGGAGCGAGAGCGTGAGACCGTCTGTTTTGCGAGAATATAATATTGAGAGCGTGAGAAGAGCTCTAATATAATATTATTTTATTAAAATAATTATAATATTATTTTGAGAAAATATTTAAAAAATTAATATACTAATTGAAATATTTCCTAAAAAGAGTGGATGACTAAATAATAATTTAGTATTCAATTTTTTATTCTTATGCCTTGTCCCACATATGCTTTCGAAACAAATAGAAGGGAAATAGGTTCATTATCTCTTCCATGATAAGGAATCTTCTTACATTAATTAATTTCAATTTATTTAATGTAATTAGTGCAGTAGAGGATGGGTTGTTACCCTCTTTGTAGCTACGTGAACGTGAGTAGTGGTTCTGTCATAGAGATTGGTATATTTAAACCATTCTCCTATTCAGTACAAACTACCAATTCCAGTCAATTACATGGTATCAGAGCTAGGGCTCCGATTTCCTTAACCTATTCTCCTGAAAATCCGAATCAAAATTCTTTCTTCTCTATCTCTATCAAGTTCGTTCCTGTTTCCTGAAAAATCTTCCATGCAATTCTTCTCCACCATTCCTCTTCTCCAAACATGTCTGGCGAAACAGTCATTAATCTTGACGAGGCCAACACCATCATCACGCTGAACTCGGCCTCGCAGCTACCCACCAAACTTACCGGCGACAATTTTCCGACCTGGCGAGCCCAGCTTCTCCCCCTTCTTCACGGCCTCGACCTCCTCAAATTCCTGGATGGCACTCATCCAGCTCCTGCTGCTGATGCCCTGCTGCTGACCGTCATCGCTGGTACAGACAAGATCAGTTACTCCTTCACTCCATTCTTGCATCGATGTCTCCCGACGTTGCACCCTATGTTTCTGCAGCCACCAATTCTCGTCGAGCGTGGACAATATTAGAACGTATGTTCGCCAATCAATCACGTCAACGCGTCATCAATCTGAAAGAGAAACTTGGCAAAGAAGCTCAAGAAAACCGACCAGTATCGGTTTATCTACAGGCACAACGCACAACCACCGCTGAACTTGCCCTTATCAATGCGCCGGTTTCTGATGAGGATCTTATTATTCATATTCTTTGTGGCCTTCGCGAGGAATATGGCCTACCTTCCTCGCGATGACAGCCCTCGCCAGTCGCGCGGTGCTCAATCCCCTCGTGCTTCTGCCGGTTATATGCCCGGTTGTGCTGCTCCGTCCCTCCTTGGCAGGCCCCGCCTTTAATGCCAATTATGTGATCGACCTGGTCACTCCGCGAAAGACTGCTACCGCATCCGCGGGCGCCCCCAAGCTCATCATACTACTACTGGCTCTTCTACATCATCCGGGTGGTTGGTCGATTCTGCTGCTACAAATAACATGACCCCCGATCTTGGTAATCTCTCTCTATATACCGATTACAATGGTCCGGATGAAGTTCTCATCGGCGATGGGTCAGGTTTGATTATTACACATGTTGGGAACTCTCATTTATCATCTCCTATGACACGTTTGCATCTTCATAATGTTTTACGTGTACCTGCTATCAACCGTCGTCTCCTTTCTGTTGCCCAGCTGTGTAAGTCTAACCCGGTGTCTGTGGAATTCTTTTCTGGTTTTTTTGTTGTGAAGGATCTAGCCATGGGGGCGGACCTGCTACGAGGCCAGAATAGAGGTGATGTTTATGAGCTGCCTGCGGATTCTCCTCCTGTTCGTCTTGCCTTAACCGCTACTACCCGGCTCTCTTCTACGGTCTGGCACAACCTGTTGGGACATCCCCATGCCAAGCTCCTTTCTCGCGTACTGCGTAATCAGTCTCTTCCAGTTATTTCTCCTACATGTTCTTCTTTGTGTGACTCTTGTTCTCTTCATAAAAGCCGAAAACTGCCTTTCTCAGTTTCGAGTCTCGCTAGATCTCGTCCATTTGATTTGTTATATATGGATGTTTGGGGGCCTTCTCCTATTGTTTCTCATGACAATTACACCTATTATCCAGTCATTGTTGATCATTTTTCTCGATACACCTGGCTTTATCCTCTTCGCCGTCAATCTAATGTTCATCATGTTTTCACTACTTACAAAACAATGATAGAAAATTACTTTCATACCTCGATTCGGCATATTTATAGTAATGGTGGTGGTGAATTCCAGAAACTATGTTCTTTCCTCCAAACACATGGCATTACTCACCTGTTAACTCCTCCACATACCCCTCCGCACAATGGCCTCGTCGAACGCAAACATAGACACATAGTTGAAACCGGTCTGGTCCTTTTGCATACTGCCAACCTCCCACTTCGTTACTGGTCTCATGCTTTTCAAACTGCTACCTATCTCATCAATCGCCTTCCCTCCTCTTCTCTCCGTGGCACCTCTCCGTTCTATGCCTTGTTTAATGAAACTCCGAAATATTTAAAACTGTTCGGTTGTTTATGTTACCCATGGCTACGCACCTACTCTGCCCACAAATTAGCACCTCACTCCCGTCGCTGCATCTTCTTGGGTTACTCCGTCACTCAAAGCACCTATCATTGTTACGATCCTAGTACCCATCGCATCTACACGTCTCGCCATGTCCAGTTCGACGAGACTGTTTTTCTGGCCTATCTTCCCCATCGGATCCTTCCTATGATCCGCCAACCTGGGTTGCCACTACTACTCCCCCTGTCACTATTTATTCCCTCTCCCCTTCCCCACCTTCTCATTCTTCTGTCCAGCCCATCCCTCAACTACCCAACACGTCCGCGTCTCCACATCACCTCTCCTCCCCAGCAGCTGCGCTACCCATTGCTTCCTCCTCTCAACAGAATCAACTACCTCCACCACCGGTTAAGCCTGCCCATCGGCCCGTCACTCGCAGCCATCACGGTATATTTCAACCCAAGATACTAATTCACTCACAGGCTGTTACTCTGGATATTGAGTCTACCTCGGTCAAGCAAGCTCTTGCTGACCCAAGGTGGAATGCGGCAATGAGGGCCGAAATCCAAGCTCTGCTAGCTAATCACTCATGGACTCTTGTTCCCCGTCCTCTTGGTTTTAATATTGTTGGCTGCAGGTGGATTTTTCGTATCAAACGTCACCCCGATGGTTCTATTGAACAGTTTAAAGCCCGATTGGTGGCTAAGGGGTTTTCTCAACGTCCGGGCATAGACTTTCATGATACTTACAGCCCGGTTCTAAAGCCCGCCACCATTCGCACTGTCTTTTCCATTGCTCTATCTCATCACTGGTGGATTTTGCAGTTCGACGTCAACAATGCCTTTCTCCAAGGCTCTTTGCAAGAGACAGTTTATATGACCCAGGCCCCCGGCTTCCGTGATCCGGAGCATCCAGATCATGTTTGTTGTTTGTCTCGGCCTATCTATGGCCTTCGACAGGCATCTCGTTCTTGGTATCTCGCGCTCTCCGGGTTTCTTCAAGAAGAAGGATTTGTCAAGTCAAAATCAGATGCCTCCTTGTTCATTTATCACAAGGGCACCGTCACACTATATATTCTGGTTTACGTCGACGATCTTCTACTTACTGGCAATGATGCGCCTGCTCTCGCGCATTTCCTGGCTCGTTTGGCTGCACATTTTTCCCTCAAGACCCTTGGGCCTGTCCACTATTTTCTTGGTATTGAAGTTGTACCGACATCTAACGGGTACCTCCTCTCTCAACAAAAGTATGTGACTGACGTCCTTACCCGGTTTGGCATGGCTGACTCGCATCCCGCCCCAACTCCTCTGTCCTCCACCGCCAAGCTCTTGCTTGTTGATGGCTCACCTCCTGCCGATGTGACCCTATATAAACAGGTTGTTGGTTCATTGCAGTATCTCCTCTGCACCCACCCAGATATCGCCTTCGCCGTCAACAAGCTCTCTCAATTCATGCACACTCCTATGCAGCTGCATTGGCAACATGTTAAGCTTCTGTTTCGCTACTTAAAAGGCACCTCCCATCTCGGTCTCCGCCTTGCCTCGACACCCCAATGATCGCACTTCCACTATGGCCTTTCCCATCTACTACGACGGTACTCTTATTTCTTGGAAATCAAAGAAACAACGATCTGTTGCTCGATCCAGCACTGAGGCAGAGTATCGAGCTCTAGCACACGCCACGTCGGAGCTTCTATGGTTACAGAATCTTCTTAAAGAGATCCATCATCCGGTTTCTACTACTCCAACTATCTGCTGCGACAATCTCGGTGCTGTAAACTTCTCGGCCAATCCCATCCATCACTCTCGCACGAAGCATCTTGCTCTTGATTACTTGTTTGTCCGGGATCTTGTGCAAACGCAGCAGCTTCAAATTCACCATATTCCCACTGCCTTCCAGCTCGCGGACTCGCTGACCAAGCCCCTGCCCATTGCTCGTTTTCAACGTCTTCAGTCCAAGATTGGTGTTGTACCTGTCACCATCTTGTGGGGGCGTGATAAAGAATCTTCTTAGATTAATTACTTTCCATTTATTTAATTTAATTAGTGCAGTAGTGGATGGGTTGTTATCCTCTTTGTAGCTACGTTAGTAGTGGTTCTGTTGTAGAGATTGGTATATTTAAACCATTCTCCTATTCAATACAAACTACCAATTCCAGTCAATTACATTCCACTCCCTTATCTTGAAATTAAATACTGAGAGCAGCTGAAGCCTGAATGAAACAACCAGATTGATCACTTTAACTCAATTCCCTTTCTATTATGCGGTTGTGATTTCAGTTTCCTTCTCTTCCATACATAGAAAACTCTATTTTCCTTTTCTTAATTGATTCTTCTGATGCCGCTGCTCTCCCTCCCCACGAAAAACCAACGTTTTCTTCTTATTACTCTACTCCTCTTTGTTCCATAAAAATCAGAGATCCGACTTCCGACGGAGATCTCTTGTAAATCTACCAAATTTTAGATCAACGACCACCTAAATCAACCTCGTCCAATAAATCTTCTTTTATTCATCCCACAATTTGCTCATGTGTGGATAGATTAGCTGCAATTGTCGTAGGATTCAATCGCGAAAAGGGATTCGGCGTCATGACTGGTGAATAATAGATGTGGAGGAGAAAGAGGGCTCCATAGACATGCAAAGAGAGATATGATAAATAGCTAGCAACTCAAAGCTAGAAACAATCGAGGAGGTCAAGAATGAAGGGATTTCATTTGCGATGGGCGGTAATGAGTCTTCTAGTCGGAAGCGATAATGAAGGGGGCTTCTTCTTATGATTACGCAATCACGCTCTACAATTAGACAAACCGCGCTCTGAGGAAAATGAGTTCGCGAATTTTCAACGCTCTCGTCAGAATCCTTGAATGGGCGCTCTAAAGCGGGAACGCTGCCCCTATACTCACGAGTTAGGTGATCTATCAATAATATCTGAATGTATAGAGAAATCAATCAATAATATCTGTATTCGTTGAATCGGTCCAAGTCGGTTTACTAAAGGGATGCCCAACTCCATTACGATTGTTTTTTGTAAGAACAGGCACTAAGTGCGTCCCAACCTTTATTGCATGCAAACAAAACGGGGAGTCTCACTCCCCACCCGATCAAAGTACAGCCAATACAGAAAAGAAGTACTCGACCTATCCAAAACGTGTACTCATATCGAGTAAGAATCCCCTATGGAAGCAAGGTGGTCCGCGGTGAAGCTCGCCTCGCGAAAAGCATGATCAATCCTAATCGTCTAGTCGTGGTTGAGTCTTTGCCTGATTTCGGTGACCTGAGTGTAGTGCATATGATGCGGGGTCGCAGTATCGATCAGGACTCTTGCAGTTGCTGAGTCCATCTGCAGAAGAACTTTCCTGACTCCTTGCTCCCAAACAAGATCCAAACCATACACAATCCCAGCCAGCTTTGCACGAGTGATTGAACCCCCTCGAAGGTTTTGGTGAATGCTTTGATGAAACGCCATCACCCCCCCCCCCCCACATGATGTCGTCACAGCTCGTGCTCTCAGAAGAGAGTATGAGTGACCCATCCGTATTGACACAGACCCAGTCCTGCGCCGGTGGTTGCCAGCCAATTAGGCGCCGCTCTCAGGGTCCCCCATCCCCGAATATGGTTCTCTCCTTCTCAAGTGATTTGGTGATCTGGTCTCGGATCTGCTTTGAATGGAACTGGATTTGTATATGAGCCTTTAGCTCACCCCGGAAACACAAAGTCATTCCTGTTCTTCCACAAAAGTCAACAGGTTCCTGCAAAAATGGTTCTGTCAATAATATTGCTTCGCCCTGAAAGATAGTACAGAGTCCACCTATGGGCATTAGACTCGAAAAATCATGAATCAGGTTCATCTTTGAGCAGGTCCGCCCACATAGCACGAGCAAAAGGGCAGTCCCCAATGACGTGGAGTGTCGTCTCCGGGCCACCACCACAAATCTTGCAGCTTATATTGGTTGTAAGATGCATGCGTCCTCTCTCGGCGTTGGTGACCAAGCGGTCATGATTCAGCAACCATAGGAATGCCCTCACTCTCTGCAAAGTTGGAGTCTTCCACACCGATTTCCATACAGGTTGTCGCTAGATAGGGTATGCCCTGTTGTCCGTCAGCTCGTACACCGTTCGTAGTGTGAATTTGGCATTGGGAGAGAACCGCCACTCACGCACGTCGTCTGCCTCCTCCGTCGGGATGGGATGAAGCAAAATCTGCGAACAATAACATGGGTAAGTAGCAGAGGAGGAAATCTGAGTTCCACTTACCATTGAGTACAAACTTCACGATGGGCATGTTCAAGAGCTCCGACGAGAGATTCTGGGCATGGACTTTTACGATCGTATTATTGTCCAGCCACCTGTCACTCCAGAATTTGGTCGTACGCCCATTTCGGACGTTCCAATAAGTCTCCTCCTCCTCAATTAAGTGTGCCACCTGAATCACTCCCCTCCAAAGATTAGAGAGTCGGCCCTCAGTGAGCAAATGACGACCCTCCTCAGTTCACCATGAGTATTTGGAGAGGAGGACCCTAGCCCATAGCTCTTCTGGCTTGGTGAGGATCCTCCAAGAAATTTTGAGCATGTAAGCTTCATTAGTTCTAGTAGAGTCACGGAGCCCCAAGCCCTCCTCATCTTTTGGTCTGCACGACGTTTCCCAGTCGACAAGGTGGACCTTCCGGCCCTACTCCATACTACCCCATATGAAATTGCGGATTTTCTTGTTAATATATTCTCGCACGCTTGCCGGTAAGAAGGTTTTCTATATCATGTAGGCAGGGAGAGATGCCCGCACAAACTGTGCTAGCGTGATCTGTCCTGCTAGTGATAGTGTAGACGCCTTACAGCCAGCCAGCTGCTTATCAATCCTGCCAATCAGCTCCCAGAAAGTTGTTTTTGATACTCTGTCATGTATTACCGGCACTCCCAGATACCTTTACAAATTCATGGTTACCGGTATTTGAAGCTCAACGCTCAAACTTAGTTAGCAACCATCGGTCGTGTTAGCCGAGAAGAACATCCGTGACTTCGGCCTACTGATCTGCTGTCCGGATGACCCCCCAAATTTCTCAAAATAGGCGTTAAACTCTTGCACTTGTTCTCTAGTTGCCTTGCCAAAAAGTATTAGATCATCCGTAAATAAAAGATGGGAGAGCGGCGGTCCATCTTGCGACAACCGTATCGGTTTTCATCTGCCAGCCCTGACTGCCTCATCAATGATATGTCCCAGTCTTTCCATACAAAGAGTGAAAAGGTATGGAGAGAGAGGGCATCCCTGTCTTAGGCCCCTGGACGGTTTAAAGCTCTCTATTAGACCCCCTCATTCCACTGAATCTGCATCGATGGCGAGGAGATACAGGCCATCGTCAGTTCTACGAACTTGTCTGGAGCACCGGTGATGACTCGATAATTTGCACATGTTTTCCCCTTTGTTTCTTGATCATTTAATCTTGCATTATCGCTTCTTTGGCCTATTTTAAGCTAGGTTGTGTTCCTTTGTCACATTTGAGTTCCTAGCACATAAAGTGAAACTTAGGCGCAAGTTTCAAGTCAATCGGAGATCAATTGGCGACTCGGGGAAAGAAACTCGGGTATGACTTGAAGAAGAATAGATTTCAAACTCACTTTGTGACCATAGAATAATAATCTTGTCATGAGAAGAAATAGGACGAGACTACGAGCGTCTGGGATCAAATGACACCTGATTTGGAGTCCAAACGAGGGAGAAACGAAGAATCAAAGATAGGGGACCCGGAACTGCAAAATACCCGACCAAAATAGCCAACCGGGTATTTTGACCATCTGATAGGGGATTTTTGATAGCATCAGAAGGCCCCCCCCCCCCCCCCGGTCGTGAACCAAAAATACCCGGCCGGGTACCCAAAATACCCGAACGGGTCGCGAACGCAAGCTGTTAAAAGCCTGTTTTGTGCGTTTTTGGAGGGGGGAGAGCTGGGTTTTGGATCCCAAACACCCAAGGGACGAACCAAAGAGAGAGAGGGAAATTTGAGGGCATTCTTGGAGTGGAATTGGAGGATTTTTTCCCCTTAGAAGCTCGAGGAACAAGCCCGGACTTGAAGACTGATAATCTGAATATTCTTATTGCAGTCTCTCTCTTCTCTATGGAGTAACTTCCCTTCACTTAGGTTTTGAGGAACCCTAGCTATGTTTGTTTAATTGAATGATTGTATGAGTACTCCTACTTGATAATCTTGAGTTCATATTCAATCTATGCATATTTTCATTACTCAATTATGCTTTAGTAGAGATTATTGATTCTGCTTTGATCCTATGAGAGCAAATACCTGATTACGTCAATAGAGCACCATAGATTGATAGTATTGGATCGTTTGCTTTAGTCGAGGGTCAATTCACTGCTTTGTATCGATTGAGAACCTCATTTGATAGAGGGAGTGTAGTTCAGAACGCCATGATCGGTTGTTCTAGAGAAGGATACGTCCCTCTAGCCAATCGACTCAAGAGGCCCTTGATCCTTTAGTCGAGATTCAAGGTCTAGTCAAGGATTCTCCGCATTGTGAATGAAAGTGAAACAAGTTAGAAATCATCAATC